TGGTGGTGGAGGCGGTGGTGGTGGTGGTGGAGGCGGTGGTGGTGGTGGTGGAGGCGGTGGTGGTGGTGGTGGAGGCGGTGGTGGTAGTGGCAGAGACGGTTACCTTTTCCAGGCAAGTCCGACGCGCTCTCGTGTGTAGATTACGTGTCTACTGACCGCAGCCAACTGCGACACAGAACTCACCTTGTGCGTATCACACGAGATGCTGGTGACACCGGGAAGGCGAAAGTCGACGACGTCCAGCGGGAAACCGGCCTCCTCCATGAATGGCAACAGAAAACCACCCAGGCAGCAGTCGACGTGCACAGGAATACCTCTTGAAGCCCCCAACTAAGATAAACAGCATGGATGACAACGTTGTAACCAATTCACCGCGTTAACTTACATCGGCAGAGTTCAGCAGGCACCTAGATTGTAGATGATTCAGCACTTTTATTGTAGCCGTGAGGATGATTAAAAGGTAGTCATCTTTTATCAGACCATTCAAGCACAACACAAGCACCACAGTTGCCTGGTGGGAATACTGGTGAAAAAAAAACGCATCGTGACTCTAGCAATCTCCTTCATCAAGGCTCGCAAGAATGTTCAAAATAAGATCACCTTCAAGGGATTACATTTCAAAGATCATGTCAAAAATCTCAAGGTCAAAAAACAGCCCCATCACAACAAATCAGCGCATTGATTGGAGTTCTCCAAAAGACCACTATTAGGAAGCTAATAGGTTAGCACCCCAGATGCGACTGTGTTCGTAGAACTCAAGTGTCAGGGGTAGATGGTGTTATCGCGCTCTCAAGGTCACAATATTCACAGAAAACCAATTTCTTTAGTGACATTGATTTTTGACATTCGAGCAACCCGAGGCCCAACACACACCCCCACTTGGGGGGGTAGTAAGTTACTGGCGCACCACAAAACTGACCCTCAACTGATCGACACGATCCCGAGTGTAGAATTTGCATCTTGGGTTTCGCTACGAAGAATGACGCAAGGGGGTTATATTCTCTCTCCCTAATTAATTATTTTGTTATCCAAATTGTCGCAGAAAACGACTTATGTCCGCAGGTATTTGCGCTGCCTGAAGTGGCACATGTGATCTTCTTGATTGACCAAATTTGCACGCGGTGCTTGGATCCCAACGTTGCTCAGAGAACAACCATCATCTGGACACGTGGAGGAGTCTTGTCCAACAATCTGACATCTCACATAGCAA